TTTGCTGACCCTGAATTATGCTTAATTGATTTTCCTAGTTAGTTTTTTCAATTAAAAGGGCTGAAAAGTGCCTTAAAAACATCATTCAAAAAGCTGAACTGTGCCTTTAAAGAAATAACAGTTGCCCCTAGTTTTATCCAAATATGCAGAGTTGCTAGTATGCATGACACTATAGTGATTGTCCAATTTAGTAATTATGTCGGCTTAATTAACTGATAAAAATATTAACGTTGTTATTTTCACAGAAAAGGTATAGATCGAGTACGTACGAGCTTGGTTCTCCCGATCTTTTAAGCGACACTGATAATGACGTCGTTCATAGAAAAAAGGCAAAAAAGGCAATGAAAACAAGCGACAAATGCTGCTCTTGCCAAATAGGGCGAGATCACAAGAATGAATGGACATATACGAAAATATCTGAGAATTCTTGCGATTACGAAACTATAATTGTCAAAAAAAGGAATCCTTCTACTGGTGTTCAGTTGTGGCACATTGATACTTATGGACACGAACAGTCTTGTTCTATTAAGAACACTACCTCGCGAGCTTTAACCTGGAGAAAACTGCCCAAACATCAAAAGCAGGTACAGTTCAATTCATTACTTTTTCTGTAGTCAGTCTACTTTTCCCATCTTTTCATACGCCATGTCATTCGGTATAGCTATATGCATTATAAAATTATTATTATTAACTGTCAAATTTATTCATTGTCAAACTGTTCTCCGTAAAGCCCTAAAACATCCCCAAACAAAGCAATTAACGAACTTTGAAAAGCAACTAGTAACAGCAAAAATATTCAGTATGACGTTTATAACTCCACTAAGCAAGTGCTTAAGGACTTTCGCTCTGGCCAAGAGGATAAACCGCATACTCAATTAACCTGTCAAGGTTCTTTCTTCACTAATATAACGAAGTTCTCACTTTCCCAACTCACTAAAATTTGGTGTGCGTGCCAATCGAACCTTCCGAAAAATATATTCAACTTTACAGTTCGATACATCAAAAACTCCCTTCCAACGTGCCAAAACCTAGCCTGCGAACAGGCTCTTGAATTGAATTAGAGCCTGCCGGTTTAGTCAATAAAAATACGTCTGTGCCGATCACTATTTATAGTGTTGTCAATCAAATGTAAAATACAATGTGACAAATTAATACAGACACGCCTTAGGGGCGGACCATTAGAAATCCCGGGAGGGGGGGGGGGTATAAAATTTTTGCGGCACGAATTTTTTTTTCAGTCTCATGTGTCTGCAGGAATTTTTTTTAATGCACTTAACCTCTGCACGAATTTTTTTTTCAAGACTACTTGTACTTTGCTCATGGCGACCTCCCCCCCCCGTCGCCAAAAAAAATTTCGGTCAGTGTACCATTTTAGGGGACAAAAATTTTTTCCGGACATACCACATACCAAAAGTTACCGCAAAATTGACAGAATTTGTCAAATTTTTTTTTTAATAAACTAAAATTGCCCGACTGTTCAGCGAATATTGCCCGACTGCCAACTGCCCGGTACGCCCATAGATATAGGAGATCTAGATTGCTAACGCATACCTAGCGCAGGCGGGGCCTATACATGATAAATCCAAGATGGCGGTACAAGAGGGCAAAAAGACTATAGATTCTATTACGAAAATCAAGATTTTTGCATTTTTTGCCGTCGCATTGTTTTGAAACTTATTCGGTCAAATTTTATGGTAAAGAGAAACTTACCGCGAGGATTTTGAGCATAATAGTACTATATATGTAACTTGTACAGTTTTGCTTTAATTTTTGCTCACTATTTGCATAGAAAGCAAATTATAACAGACCATAGATGATAGACCCTTATCCAGTGCTCTCATCAGTTTATTATAAGTAATAGCATGGCTTGAGGGAGATTAGTGATTAAATGGCCCCGTAACCCGAGGCAGGTTTGCGGAATCCCTGAGGGCGAAGCCCGAGGGAATTCCGCAAACCTGCCGAGGGCAAGGGGTCATTTAATCACTAATCTCCCGAAAAGCCATGCTATTAGTTTGTAATAGCATAGTTGCGCTCCCATTTAAAAATGGACAAACATTAGGGATGGGCCGATATCGATACCAAATACTCGATACTATCGATACCAGGGTTTTGAAGAAAAGTATCGATACTGGCAAGAAATATCGATGTTTCGATATTTCTGCGCCCGCGATATTTTTCATTTTGGGCAGCGGCATCATCATGAAAATGATACCAAAAAGCCTAAATAGGCGTAAATAGTTCATTTTCTATGGTGTTATAATGGTCCACGGGAAGGATGGGAGTTTCTGGTTATGTTGGTTGCAATCACTGACATATATTATTCAATGTTTATATTGTTAGCGTTGTGGCCGTTGTTAATGATTTCAAGTTGGGAAAATATCGATATCGGTATCGATATCGAAAAAACGGCAAATATCGAGCAAATATCGTATCGAATGAAAAAGCTGGTATCGCCCATCCCTATCCCCCCCAC